TGTGGCCCTTCTCCCTTTACTTGCATGTATCACATTTTCAATAACTCCCCTGGAAGACAACTGTATATAGCAGAGATAGGGTAATGGGAGAGGGGGGAAAGGGCAGAGGGTCAAAGATAGGATAAAAAAACAGATATATATGTATACATTGTATGAAAGTAGGAATGGAATATTATTGATGATAACATGCTTGATTAAGTCACTATGCAGTTTGTCCTAGATGGGAAACTACATTTAGTATGTTGTGATGATGATGCTCAGGGAATGAGTGTTAGGTAATATAAAAAAAAAAAAAGTTATCACATTGTATGGGATGATGCCATTACTCAATGGTTAGCCCTTTGCATGGGAAATTGGATGCCATATGGCCGGCCACAGTTTGAATCCTGGACCTGGCAGCCTGGAAAACACTCCAGGTGCATGTGCATGCATGCTCCAAATCCTGATGAGATGGAGAAAGGCAGGAAAAAAGAAGATTGTGGCACAACCATGCCCCGTTGGGGCATGCCTGCCCCCACTTGGTTAGCAAATGTGCCCTCTGGCAACTAAAGTCATCATATTGTACTTCAACGTCTGATTCTTGTTCTTATTTATTTTTCTAAGAGACTAGGAGTTCCTTGGACCCAGGAACTATGTCTGAAACATCTTTATCATTCATCTCCATCAAATCTCTCAGTACTTTGCTTGGAAACCTACTCAGAACACTCAAAAAAAAAAAAAATTGGGAAGGTGAGTGGGTATATTTTTCTGAACAAGTTCCTGGAAATATATGTAATCTGTAAGGAAGTCACAACAAAGAGTCATATTCTGGAAGAGTTTGCAATTAATCTACTCAAAAGTGTCCATTTACCTACGGCTTAGAGTAGCAAATGAAGTCCAGTTGGGAAGCAAGCTTAGCTTTTTTTGGCAACAGCATAAGCTACTCCCCTACCTAGAGAGCCTTCCATCTGATCTCTACTCAGAATTCTGGACTACAGTGTAGGTTTTTTTGCTGCTGCTCCTGTACACACATGCCCTTTCCTGCAATGAATTTACCATCCATGAAACCCTCGTCATCATGTGGTACTCTTTGGCCTGCTCTAGCTTACCCCAGTAATCTCTGTGAGGTGAAGGTGGAGTGGTGGGGTTGATTTGTTTCATTTTTGCTAGAAGGTGTGTATACTTGCCAGAGAGAGACAGAGCAAGAAGAGGAGAAAGCAATCCCCATGGAGAATGTTCAAATTGCAATTCCTTTTCCTCCATCTCTCCTTTCGGGATATTGGGTGCCCATGC